ATCGCTCGCTTATCTGCAATAACTCCGTGTCTGGCTGGCTCGGCATCCAAAAAAGCAGGAGAGCTGAGATACTGTCAGCTTGCTCAAGCCCAAACAAGAGCAGTCGAGATGCTGGGGTTGAGTCTGACTCACTGGCCTCTCGGTCAGTAAGTTCGCGCTTTATCCACGGTGCTTTGGCGGTATTACTGGACTGGATGCGTGTAAACAACCGACTGTGTTGTGAGAATCTCTACTTCGATAAGAAGTGTTGGTCGAAATACTACTCCTCGTTTATCATGTCCATTTGTGAACCAACGAACGGCACCTCTGATCTACGGATACACCAATATAGAGTTGATCATAATAGCAGATTTCAGGTAGAGTGCCTCAGTTCATCGGAAGTGCACCTCGGTGGTATGTCTAGTCTGGGCGCAAAACGCAATAATAATAATGTATTTTGCAGCTTTGTACTGCTCACCAGCTGCCTCTCAGGGTATCCTGTAGCTTGTGTTTTTTGGGGAACAAGGACGTGTTTCAGGGAACTGAGGCCAATCTTCGGTCGTGCCCGTGCTCGAAAATCTCACCCGAACTGACTGCCTCATCCATTAAGTATAGATATCGGCTACTGGCTTCCCTTATTTAGCGACATTCATGTTCAGCAAGTGAGATGCAAGTCCAAGAGCATCAGGCAGAATTTGTAGCTGGTCAAGGGTGGCATGCAACCGACTCTAAGAAACGCTGTCATGCTATCGTTTCCTGACCACTGCCTAGCTTATGTTCATTTGTCTCAGGTGGAGTTCTTGTAATGAAGGCTGAGTCGATCCCACTGATGATGCCTCAACTGGACACTATTTTCAGATGTTTCTTTTAGGGTTGTCAAAAGGTGTGTGGTCGTTCTTAAGCATGTAAATTTTTGCACTAATTCTCTGACCTTCCCTTTTCACTATTTGTTAAGGATTCTACCCCTCATGTTTGCATAACAGTTACGCACCACTGTCTCTTGGAAAGATAGTCCAACCACTAAACCCGAGCTAGTCTCAGCTCGCAAACAATACCTGTTAGGTCATGAATTTTATCGGTCGAAATTGCGGGCGATCATCTCATGAAAATGAAATACCTTTTGCTGCGTTGAGGTTCTTGCTTCCAGGTGGAAAAACTCCGTCAACTGCTACAAGTCCGCATGTTGAGGTAATTTATCAAAGAGCGTTCACTCAACCGCGCTGTGACAAAGCTCATCTTCAGGTGTGAACCGCGTACATGTTGCCACCGTTTTTCGTCGATGATCTGAGAAGATAGCTAAGCATTGGAGGCAGTAACTGATAGGCGTCGATCCAGGGGTGGCAATGCACTTTTCATGAGAGAATAGGATGGAAAGCTATGGACTAAATGCAACAACCCGGATGCATGCGCGACATGGATGTCCTATCTCGAGGCTTCATCCACTGAGACGGCAGTGACCAACGTAGCTGAGTGTGTTGGTAATGGCTTTCAGATTTCACTGATAAGTCATCGCTTGACATGCTCTAGCTCGTCTCCACTCCTCATGCGGCACGTGACCAAGCAGGTGCAACCTATCGAATGAGACCAGTTTACCGATCATGGACTAGATATCTCTTCCGAAAACCAACGGTCAAGGCGGGAGTTTTTGACGTCCTCAGCTCACGGTGGCCAGGTTTCTTATCTATATAACAAGACGGAGCGCACCACAACATTGTAAACTTTGCAAGACAAGTCTACCACGCCTGCAATACAGATGACGGGGAGAGACAAAAGTCACTGTTTTTTTTTAATCCGGATGGAAACACCGTTCCTAGCTGGGCACCCGGGACCGATATGACTATCCAGGTGGACAATTCGTTTGCTACCTCAATAAACCCATCCGCAAGCATGAAGTCAGGGTTTAATCCTGCTCAGTCTTGCAGCAGCACTGATATGACTATCCAGGTGGACAATTCGTTTGCTACCTCAATAAACCCATCCGCAAGCATGAAGTGTTTAATTAATCCTGCTCAGTCTTGCAGCAGCACTCTACACTTTGCAGGTATGACGTGCATATCAAACATGGGGCAGAATTATTTAGTTGATATTGCGTGCATCTCGATGGAGGCGGGTCCAAGGGGAGTTATACACTCTGCATACTTGATATATATGAACAAACAAACATTTAGACCACGTATAAGGAGTTGGGTAAGTCTCCCATGATCATACCGGGCCAGCCATGCGTGACTCCACTTGATGTAGTTAACTCAGGCAAGAGCTTTCCAATGTCATGCGTTCGCGGGAATTGTTTAGAAGGAGACATCTTTGCTCCATAGACACTTTCACAGTTTTCGAATAACCGTCAAAGATAGCTTTTAAGTCAGGAAACACCGTCACTGTTGGTTTCCGGAAGCAGCGTTAGTCTTTCAGAGTGAATACGCGAGCGTGCGTCTTCTTTTTCACTTATTTACATTTCTCTGTATTCATTCAACCCTCGTAGGACGAGGTCAAAGAAAACCTCCAGTGCCACAGCTACTAGGCCAAAGCCACAGTTTTTCTCAGTGTTCGCCTACCCTTTTTGATGATAGGGGTGACTGACTATGTGCCCTATTTTTCGGTCATTTCGTCTTCATCTCATACAGCACTAATTTTCAGGTGGATATGAGTCTCTCTGCCTTCTTCGAGGAGAGTGGGATACAAAGCGCCCGGTTCGTGGTGCCTCATATTTTAGAAATTACCCAAATCGTCCAAATAAGTTCTATCGCGCACCGACAGATCGTTGCCGCATCAACCGTTACCTGTTCACCAACCAAAAGGTGATATTCTCATATTCGGGTGTTAAGGAGACCGAATCAGTCGGGAAATATATAAAATCCCTTAAAAACACATGGAAATGGCGCGGTGAGAAAACAAGAGGTTGTTTTGACGTTCTTCAAATCTACAGATTTGTTCACAAATACTAAGCAATCAATTGTACGAATGGGGACAGATCTACTGCATGCTGATCAATAAGGCAATCAGTATGAGTGGACTCAACTGATGCTCAGGGTGAAGAACAATGCGGTACATTCCTTGAAAAAGCATTTAGTGCCTCCAAACAATGTATACAGTGGTTTGACCCGAAAAGGAAGGGCTGACATATCCAATAAGTCACGTACATTCGTTCAGTGATGTGTGAATCGGTTCCTGAATGGCCTTGTAACGGTTCAACAGGAAGGTTTGGGAAGGAGAAGCACAAAAATAAATTCGTTAACCAGACTCATCAACAATGTACCAGTAGAACATCGTTTCTAAAAGAAATCTACCATCTGACTCTTTGATTTGTATGAAGTGAAACAGCCGGTGATATCAACTGTCGCCTACACCGTTCTCGGTTGAACTGTCGGAGTCTTCGTCTGAATTTGGTTCTGGTATTGGAAATCGGAGGATGGCAGCAACCCCCGACAGCTGGTTCAATTCTGGCGACGAGAAAAAAAAACAACAGATGAAAAGTTGACAAATTTGAGGGAAAATGGCAGGGTTGTGCGACATTTTGAGCTTCGGACCAAGGCTGGTAAATGATATCCACCGAAATGGTTTTTGTCCAGGGTTCATCATCATCGACAGCATGATACCAGTGTTTAAAAAAATGATGCTTCGCTGTCACCGTCACTAAGAGACTGGACCTTACCGTGGTGTGACGGTTTGCGCACCTCAGCGATCCATTGAGCTGAGGTGCGACACTCACAGAGTCTCATACCAGGTTGGTCAGTGGTCAGAGGTCTGGCGAACACAGTCTCCTGGCCCTCCAGGTTGCGGGTTGGAACATGTGGTGACTTGTTCCGTAGAAATGGTAATGCATTTGCATTTCCCGCCAAACACCGCTGCCTTGCGGTGAGGCTTTTGAGCTAAAGGCTTTGGTTGAGGACCCTAATCGTCCTCCTGTCTAGGTGTGGGCGCCCTGACAGTGTCCCAGCCCACGTACAACCATGAATTTCACATACACAAATAAACTCATGCCACATCGGCCGTCGCGTGGTGCCATCAGCCGGGTCGCCTTACTTGCTGCATACAGCAGGGCGGGTAAGCGAAAACAGGCTACTGCTGACGCCTCCCTTCTCTCTCCTTCACATACTTTTTCTTCCCCCTCTCCCCACCCCATTAAT